TTGTGCATGCTGCAGCTCCAACCCACTGTAGTAGCCCTCATTTTGGGGGCACCCCTTTGCTCCTGCAGCTGTGACGTTGGCACATGCAAAGTTGTGTTCCCTCAGTTATTCATGGAGACATCCAGGTTCTTCTCCAAGCTACTTAAATCCTCTTACGAACACCTCCCCACAGGCACATCCTCACATCGAAGGGTACCAATGTGCCCCTAATTGCCTCTCCCCATAACCACATCTTCACTGCTTCCAGTTTTGCTGCAGACCCTGCTCAGCTTATCTACCCAAAACAAAGTGATAATTTGCATTAAGGAGCTACAGGCCACGAGCATGCAACTTTCCTGCAGGAACATTTAAAGGCAGGAAGAGAAAACAACGGCGATTAAGAACACTTACCAGGAGAGATCCACAGCACGTGCCCACCAGCACAACCCAGCCACTGCTGGGGCTGTGAAATGCAAAGGACCAGCAGGCAGGAAAATGGGTGAGAAAAGGTCCTGGAGACTGCAAAACTAAGGACAGGAGGAGCAGAAAGGGTTAAGCAGAGGGGACTCAGAGCAGAAATCAGTTTGATTTCACTGAGTGCTGGCTGCAGTGAGCTCAGTATGAGCGCTCCAGCACCAGCGCCCATTCCCCAGACACGATGTGGGGCTCTGCTGTTTCAGAGGGAGAGCTGAGCAATTCCCCAAAGACCTGAGTTTCACCCTAAAAAGGTTTAGTAGTAAGATAAGACCAAGAAAGGACTAAATTAGGGCCTCCCATGGAGTCCTGTGTGGGTAGCCAGGGGAACCGTGACCCCCCGTGCCCAGCCCCAACGCAGACCGACCCAAACTGAACCAAGAACAGGAGAAAATGAACATTTTCCCACCGTGTGTTTGTCCCTGCCCCAAGCCCACTGCAGCTGTCATGCTTAAAAACCACGCTTTGCCATCACAAACCTCTGCGTGGCCCAAACTCCTGGGCTTTGAGCAGGGAGCTTGCAGGAAGCAGCGCTTGGAAGCTTTACTTCAGAGACCCCCATTTAACAGGAAAGCAAAGCCTGGTGTAATCTCTTGACTCTGGGAGCTGCAGGTTTTGTAAAACCACCCAAATCCCATGATATTCCCAAGAGAGTCCAGACGCTTGGCAGTGCTGTCACAACTCCCCCAGTTGCAAAGCCAGCTCTGCTCTTGGGGATTAAAGATGCTGTGGCTGATCTAGGCATAGGAGACCTGCAACATTCCCCCACCTCTGCACTTCCAGCCATTTCCCTCCCCTACAAAAATAATCAAGCTCACACTTACTCCATGGAGCTCCTTCCAGGCGGCTCGTGGAAGAGGGCTCAGTGCCAGACCCATGGCTCGGCAGCAACCGAGCCCGCAGGTGGGTGTTTCAGGGTCCCGCTCTCCCCCAAAACACACACCCTGGGGCCGGGTTTTGGTGGCCAAGCACTGGGGCTGAGGGGCCCCCGGGAGGGATTTTGGGACCCCTCTTCCCATCCCAGCAGCTCTTCCCAGCCACATTTGCTTTGGCACTTGGGCACGAACTCACCACTTCTTAAATAACACACCTGCATGGGGCTGGATCCACACGCAGCAAGGTAAGTCCATATCAATGCTCATCAGAGTTTGATGATTATTCCTCAAATGAGGGACAGCAAAATGTGACTGCCATCCCTTTACCTTTTCCTTAAAAAATGATGGAAATGGTGACCACAGCCCAAGCCCTGTGCAAGACCCGGATGGGTCCAGCTTCCATTTGGCAGCATGGTTATTAAATTCCTGCAGATATGTTTAAGACCTTTACACAACCCTTATATAAACCAGTCTCAGAGCTAGTTTTGTCCGTGTTCGGGATTATCCTTCTCCCTGTTACAGAAAGAGGTTATTTAGAGCAGCCCACGGATTCAGGTTGGTGTTGGAGGGACAAGCACACATTGTAGAAACACTGCGTGTGCCTCCACACCCACAGCAACACCAGCACGGGATTTGTCTGGGGTTTCCTCAGCCTGCAGATGCTAAAATAAAAAAAGATTATTTTCTCTGTACAGATGGCTTTTCAAGACTCAGGGTGTCAAAGGAATTAAGTCATTAAAGTGCAGATGTATTTGATGGATTATGAGCCACGAAAGCCTGCTGGTTACTGACTAATAATGCTGGGAGGTGGAGGGGGGGAATGTTTCCTCTCCTAAGAATGTGCTTCTAACAAGACAGGTCAAAACATGATGCAGATGATATTGCTTAGTACAGGTTGCCGTTAACCCAGCAGCTTTTTATTATCAGATTACCAAGGTACCCGCAGAGCATACTGACCACCCCCGTTTTGCTCTGTACCAGCACCACTTTGCAGGGTAAAACCTCAGGGGCTGCAGCTGCTCATGGGTTCAGTGAGGGACCGGGTTTATCTATGTCTGGGTTTCAGGGTGGGGTGGGGGAATCTTTTTTTTGTTGTTGTTCACACCATAACCAAAATTCTCATCATTTCATGTGGGGTGGGGGTTGAGTAATCAGAACAAACAAACAAAAAATAAAGAAAAAAAAAAAGTCACATCAGAAAATGATCAGCCCCAACAGGCATGCACATCTCCCTTCATGCAAGTGAGAAGCACAGCCTCCCTCCTCAGGGTGTGCACGGGGACATGTCACGCATGGACCTCAGCACTAGCCCAGGGCGAGGATGGAGCAAGAACAAATGGGCACAGCATACACTGCATCCAGGGGAGCAGGGAGCCTGCTGCTGCTCATATGTGGGGACAGGATGGCCCAAGAGGCATTGAGCTACACGGAAAAGGAAATACGGAGGAGGAGATTGTAACTCAGAACAGAAAACAAAAACTGAGGGTAAAACTAGGAGGAAGGTGGAAAGGCAGGGCCTTACAGAAAAATGCGTCTCCTGGAGGGGTGCTGGGGGAGGCCAGGCGGGTGCCTCAGACCGCTTGCTCTTGTTTGGCTTGCTAGTGCAGCTCTGCAGGGACAGTAGCAAGGGGCTCATCTGGGAATTTTAGCAGTTGGAGCCACCAAACTGCCAAAATCCGCTTTCCCCTGGTTAAGGACAAGCGCCTAGCCCTGCAGCTCCCTACCTCCTTGGAACACCGCTTGGTCCCCCTGTGCCCCAGACCCTCTCCTGCTGGCCCTGGCACCCGTGCACTGCACTGTAACCAAAATTTGAAGGTTTTGCAGGACCCTTCTGGGGGCCTGGGGCAGCAAGGGGGAGAGGCAAGCAGCAGAACCACTCGCTAACCCTAAGCTCGTTTTGCTCAGCCCTCTGTGCTTCCAGATTTTAAGGCTCCCGGTGACTCCTCACAAGCCCGTGGGCCAACTCCATGACCAAAGTGGGCACTCAGAAGATGGCAGGCCCAGAGCAGAAAGAGGCAGTTAGGGCACTAGCAGCCAGGACAGTTTTAGGGCCCCAGCCTCATAGGGCTCTGGTGGGGATATTTACAGTCCTGGAACCGAGGCATGGCAACTTCTCGCCTAGTAGATGGCAAGCATGCATCTGTGCTCAGATATAGGGCTATGGGCAGGGGGGATTTTTATTTCCCAGGGCCATTTCCCTCTTGTTAATCAGAGGGAAAGGAGAGAGAACTCCCCCCATCCATCCAGAGGCTGTCCTTCAGTTTGGTACTAGTCTGGTAAGGAAGGTGCAACATAACTAGGATAAAATCAGTGACAGACCCTTCATTAATTATCTATCTTTTCTGATTAATAGCAAGGGCTTGGATTTATTTATTTTTTTTTCCCAGCTATTCCGTTGTCAAGCAGAATTCTGCATTGGCACACTGGCAACACAGAGCATGCGTTGCGGGAGCAATGTATCCACAGACTGAGGATTGATATGGGATGGGGGAAAAAAAAAAAAAAAAAAGTATTTATGTTAAAAAGCCCCCATGTGCGCTAGGGAGAAATCCACTCACTCAGACCTCACGATGGGGGGCGGGAAAGCAAGGAAAAAAATCTAAACAGCAGGATTCGACAATAAATGGGAAAACAGCAATAGAAAAATCACACTAGGTTAATATAGGAAATCTAGTTTCTTTATTGAGAGATTGTATATTAGTATTAGTGGAATCATATGTAACAATGTCATCATGCACACAATACAAAAAGGCAAGGCCCACCATGCTATGGAAGGGCAACAGAACAAAAGCAGCGTACACTAAGCAGATGTATAGGCTACAGAACATTACATTTCAGCAGGGTATGTCTCTACAGAGAGGTTTACATCAGAAACTAGGTAATGTAAAAAAAATACAGACCATGCTTTAGTTTTAGTACAAGAAAAAAAGGTAGGGATAAACAACCAAAGGGTATTCGGTACAGAAAACTACCCACAAAATAAGAACAGGAAGTAATTCAGCACAGCAGAAAATAATGTTATCCCTGGTTAATGGAAATCCATTTTGCTATTCGGGGGGGGGGGGGGGGCGGCTGAAATCAGGCTTTATTTTTTGGGGGCGGGGGGGGCAATTGCAATCCCACCCCCCTTCTTTTATTTGGGTTGTTACGAATTGCACCAAATTGCAGATGCCCCCTCTCCATTGCTTTTTTTTTTTTTTTTAGTTTATTATTATTTTTTTAAAATCTTTTCGGGGTTTCGACAGCGGGACACCCCCCACCCCCAAAACCCAGCAAAAGGAATCCCCCGGCAGGGATTTACAGTGCCATGTCCTCATGCCATGTCCTCAGCCACGCAGGATGGGGGGGGGGGGGGGGGTAGGGCACAAATGGCTGGGGTGGCCACTAGGCTACGCGAGGGGTGAATTGAATAACAGAACAACGAAAATAAACGGAAATCAGTATTTAAAAAATAAAAATAAGAGGGATGGATCTATGGAAGCGCAGGCGGGAGGGGAGGGGCGGAGGAAAAAAAAAAAAAAAAAACGTTAAGGGGGGAGGACCAACTTATGCTCGGGGAAGTGGGGAAGGGCCGGGGGAGGAGCGGAATGGGCGCGGCCGTGCGCCCCCCCCCCCACCCGGTTCGGGTAGCCCCGGGACGCGAACCCGTGGCCCGTCGCGGCGTGGCGGTACCTCTGTTGCGCACGGAGCCGAAGACGGGCAGCACCAGGTAACCGACGTGCACCAGGACCATGTCGCGCCAGGGACTCCAGCTTCCCGCCGGCACCTCTCCGGCGGCAGCGGCGGCGGCAGCCGGACCACGCTCCCTACGTGCGCGCGCGCACATACACAGAAAGGCGGCCGCCGCCAATGGCAGCGCGCCGCGAGCCCGCGCGACACACCCAGTGATGGGGGGAGGGGGGGCGCGGCCTCGTGGAGGCTGAGGGGGCGAGGGCACGCGCAGCGCGCAGTGAGCACACACACTGATTGAGGGATGGGGGGTGTGACAGCATGGCCCCATCCCAATCCTAGTCCCCATCCCTGTGACACCCGGACCCCGCTGGTCCCAGACCTATCCCGTGTATCCGCACACTGTATCTGGAGAATGGAAAAAAAAAAACAATACAAAAATCGACAATTTCCACACGTTTCTACCACTTGCCCCATAGCCAACTGCCTGGGGTGGCAGCTGGTGGAGGTAGTCAGGGCCATGGCGCGCACACACACACAGAAACCCAATTCACAACCCACTCACACCACTGAGAGCCTTCCCATGTGACAAAACCCATCAGAAATAAACTACCCTATCTGGTTGGAAATGTAATGGATTTTATTATTGTTATTCCTACTTCCATGGGGGCTGTGGGAGGACTGGCAGGCGATGAGGCCCCCAGTTTAGCACGGTGCAATTATACCTACCATCCTTGCCGTTAGTGGAGGCAGTTGATAGTTTAGGGTTTCCCAAATGCAGCTCAGCATGGCACCACCTCTTGTGGTCTGCAGGACCTGGGCACAGCTCCACTGCTTGTCTACAAGTCCATTTAAAATGGCAGATCTCAGCTTGCCAGCACCGTCTGCCCACTGCGATGCTTCGTGGGGAAAACCTGAGTGCAGCAGGGGCCTAGTGGCCAAGTGCTCTGTTCAACCTGCAGGGACCAGCAGGGAGGATGGGACAAGGGGAGGCCCTCGGAGAAAATACCACAAGGAGGCTGCTTGGGCAAACAAACAAAAAACATCCCAAACAAGATGATATTGTTTAAATAATACACTCTATTTTATTTTGTCTTAAAATAGTTTAACCTTTATGCTACAGACTTGTTTCAAAAAACAGAAGGTTTCATCTTGCACCAAAAATATATATATTTATATATATATATAACACTCTGTTTTATTATTTTTTTTTCTCCAAAGACCATTAAATACTAGATGGAAAATGAGAACTAAGTAATGAGTGTCGAGAAGAATCAAAATTTTTTAACTAGAGTCGCACATTTTAAACATTTAAATTCTAAGCAATGATTTGTCTTTACTACAGAAGATTCCAAGTTTACACTCCAGCAATTCAGGAACTGCTAAACCATGAAGGGCTTGAGCCAATGCACACTGAAGCTGACGGAAAGCCCCACAATCAGCTCCAGTGGGTTCTGGATCAGGCCCTAAGTGCATTGGTTCTTAGCCATACAATGGCTAACATTTCACTTTCCTGCTGAGAAGAGCAAAACCGTCCAGGCACCTTTTGCTCTCTTGTAAAAAAAAAAACAAAACAAAACAAACAAAAAAAAAATAAAAAAAACACTTCCTAGCTATCCAGTGATTGTGGTTTTTGGATCACTACCCTTTCAAATATGTTACAAATAAATGAAAATAATGTAGTGTTTTAAATAAAATAAAAAGAAAACCTGCATCAGACTACAATACATGAGTTGTTTAAACAAACACAGTGCACAATTGGAGGAAGTTTGGTTAGGACACAGTTGCTTTTATATATACATGGAAGTCATATCATATACAAACTGAAAAACAGATAGATAGTTTGCATTTTTAATGGAAGTACTACAAACGGGTCCCTACAGCTTGCTTCAAAACTGATCTTTAAAAGACTCAATGAAACAGCAAAAAACAGCCACACTAAATCAGTGTTCCAAAGTTACCTTACAAGCATGTGTGCTAGCCCACCAAAATGACAGCCGAGTTACGTGATGAAAACATGAGGAGAAAAAGATCAACAGCCAATGCTGTTAGAGCGTCCTGACGGTGCAGGCTTTTTTTTCCCTACTGTAAGGAGCGTGGGCTCCACTCCTCCCTCCCGCCCCGAGAAAGAAACCTGTCACTAGAAGCACCACATACATTGTCTGGTCATGCAATACACTTATCACAGCTCAATGTTTTAGAAAACTTTAAACTGGAAGAGCAATCCCTTACCTAATTGTTCTCAAGTGCAGTCATAACCTTTCTGCTTATTAAAGAAAAAAAAATGTTTGTTATTGACTATACCACCACTGCTTTTGTTTTTGTCTTTTTTTTTTTCTTTTTACATCATTACGTAACAACACAGGTATTGACTTTTGATGGTGTTTTGTTGTTGTTGTTGTTTTCTGCTCACAGAAAAAAAAAAAGGAAGCCAAATATATTTAAAAATGAGCCAACACAAAAACAAAACAGAACCGTGTCCTGACTACCCCCTGTTCAGCATCAAATGGCAAAAGTCTGCTGAGAGAGCTGTAGAACATTTCCATTTGAAACATTTGAATACAAAGGAATATTTTAATTGCACAACAGACATTTAAAGTGAATATCATCTTGTTTAAGTCTAATCTTTGGCTTTTGCCTTGCAAAAGGCTCAGTATGACAGATTAGGGCCAGGAACTTCCATATACGCTACAGAAACTAGAGCCCACTGAAGCAAGTGGTTCCACTGATTTCAGCTGAACAAATATTCCGGTAGAAAGCATTTCCTGGATCATACCCTAGAAGCAATTCCAAAACTAGGATAAGAGACATGACCTAAAGCCAGGAAAATGGTGCAGATCTAGTTAAAGAAAAGATCACAACCTCAGGCCCTGATCTTGCAACAACCTTTAGGACAGAGTTTGAAGCACTTGAATGCTCCCGTGAGTTTCAGCGAACTGTCAGAGCTTAACAATACACACCTGCTGAAGTGCTTTGCTAGTTTGGGGCTTTACACGTTTGTTGTTTTTTTTTTTTTATTTTTTGAGATGGTCAACGAAGCAGATAAACAATAGAAGAAATGAGGACTAGGAGCAAATATGTTTCGTTTTTCTTCTTCCCCTACTCCAGGCAAGATTCAGAAATAGGTAAAAAGCTCAGATACATTTAAGAAAAAGAGGGATGTTGGGCCTTTTTATTACTTTTCATTTTCTTGTGCTTTTGTAATAATTAGCTGCTAGAAAGTTTCTACTATGACTATTTTAAATTATAATAAGCTGTGGGAAATGATCAGTGAAACATAATAGTCAAGTAGACAGAAGACTCAGCACTGAAAAGAGTGTAAACTATAAATTATATTGAAAATAAAAGTCCTTTAATTAAAAGCTGTTCAGTGCATATGCTATGGGCCTTTTGTATTACAGACAGTTCCTCCTGCTGGTAACATAACCACATCAGCTTGGGTATAAATACTCTCGGCCCAGTTTTTGGAAGTGTTGAATACCCACAGTTCCACTGAAATCAGTGCAGACACAGCATTTCTCAAAATCACTGATGCTCACACAGCAAAACACTAACTTCTACTAACAAACCCAATATACTGATAAATTAAAAATGTTCTGAAGTTGGAGGCAGGAAAGGGTGGGAGGACAACTTTGTACACATTTCCTCAAATTAACACATACAAGTTAGCAACTATAGACGTGTTTTAAATTTGGAGCTATTGGGTCTTCATTCTGGGAAGAATCCTCCTTTGAGAAGGCAAAAAAAAAAAAACATTTTAAATGATCTTAAAATTATACTACATTCTTATGGAAATGAAAAACTTCATGAGTTTGAATTTCATAACACCAGGAATAGGGCTTCTAAAGCTGAAGCTATAACAATGAACTTCTGTGCCACAAAGGGAGGAGGGATGAGGACAGAAACACAGTGACACCGCATTACAGTAGATATTTGCGTCTGGTATCTTCATCCAAAGTGAGGTCTACTACTTCTGGGGGCGAAGACCAATTCTGCTGGGGAGTCACAGCTGTCCATGATTGCGTTTGCTGAGTGTTAATGTACTGTGAGCCTGAGCCATGCTTCCAGGAAGACACACTCTGGATCACGCCTGCCCTAGGATGCACACATCTGTAGCAAGGCAAAAAGCATTAAAGCTGCTATTGAATTCAAGCATGAGATTCTTAGCTTCAGTGTTTTACCACTTAGGCATTTAATTAACAAGTCCCTCCCCAAAATTTCCTTGGGGCTTTTCCATTTGTAGATCCACATCTTAAATACCCACTGATCTGCAAGTTCACCATGCTGAGACTAGACTTAAATTCATACTCAGGGGCAGAGCTGGGGAAGGGGCTGTTGGGGTTTAAATTCTTTTTAAGAACTCAATTCTACCAGTGGGCGTAAAGTGATGTTCCCCACTAAATATGTGCATGGATCCCCAGGAACCTGAAGAGTTTTCTGCCCCATCACATGTACTATGCCATGCATTATTCAGAAGCATTCCGTTTCCTGTTAGCAATTTTACCCACTGAAATTTTAAAAAGAGAAAAATTGAAAGCAAGGCTTGATGAGACAAAGAGAAAAGATAACTTTCTATATGAAATCAAAACTGTGTTACCATAAGGACATAATGATACCTTCATTACAATAATAAAGCCATTACACTTGATTTTTCTTCGGTCATCTTAACTAAAAATTACAATCATGCTGGGAAATGCTCCCTGCTAACAGTACAGCCCCACTTCAGCAAAACATTTAGGCTTTCAGTGATTGCAGTCAATGAAACTAAATCGTGTACTTAAAGATAAGCACACACTCAAGTGCCTTGCTGAAGTGAGGTACATGTCTACTTATTTGCACAGTATTTTTATCTATTATATTGATAACAGATAAGTGACAAATTAAGTACAAGCTAGGAACAACTAGAAAAAAACATAACAGAAGACTTGGCTTGCTCTATGAAGTGATGACAAGAATTACTGGAATCTTTAAGATGGTCACTCCATTCATAGCTGGAAATATTAAACGAGCACTAGTAAAACATTATAAATTCTGCTCCAAAAATCATTTTGCTCTTGCAAGCACTGGTGGCAGCTGCAGCTGCTCCTGACTGAATACATAAGCAGGAGATTTGGGGCTGCTAGGGTAACCTTTTCCATTCTCTTTTTGAAGGCATGTGAACTGTATTTCAGGCACCCACGTATCCTGCACTGGTCAAATATTCCTGACATTTTATTGACTTTAATTCAAGGTAGCACAATTTAGTTTCTCCAGAACGCCTTAAGTTATGCTATTTTTTTTTTGTCTCTGCTTAGAGAAATAGTTTCATGAAATAGGATGAAAAATCTCATTCTCTGAGCTCTAACTTGTCAGAATACAAATGTCAGATATGCTATCACTAGTCGGTCGAGGGAAGTGATTGTCCCGCTCTACTCTGCACTGGTGCAACCTCACCTCAAGTACTGTGTGCAGTTCTGGGCACCACAGTACAAAAAGGATGTAAAACTGTTGGAGAGTGTCCAGAGGAGGGCTATGAAGACGATGATGGGCCTAGAAGGGAAGATGTATGAGGAGCAGCTGAGGTCACTTGGCCTGTTCAGCCTGGAAAAGAGGAGGCTGAGGGGAGACCTCATCGCAGTCTACAGCTTCCTCACAAGGGGGAGTGGAGGGGAAGGCGCCGATCTATTCTCCTTAGTCACCAGTGATAGGACCCGCGGGAATGGTGTTAAGCTGAGGCAGGGGAAGTTTAGGCTGGACTTCAGGAAGAGGTTCTTCACCGAGAGGGTGGTTGCACACTGGAACAGGCTCCCCAGTGAAGTAGTTACTGCACCAAGCCTGTCTGAATTTAAGAAGCGACTGGACTGTGCACTTAGTCACACGGTCTAAACTTTTGGGCAGATCTGTGCGGTGCCAGGAGTTGGACTTGATGACCCTTATGGGTCCTTTCCAACTCAGGATATTCTATGA